AAATGTTTGCATTCGGGTGCTTGTTGCTTATTCACAATTTACTGAGTGGATTGTGGATTCAAGAGCGACAAGACATATAGCAAGGGATCGAGAAGGGTTCGTTGAGCTCCAAACTTTATCGGTTGGAAGTCAGAAGATTTTCATGGGGAATTGCGCATCAGAAGATGTGCTAAGGGTTGGAACTTACCAACTCGATTCCAAAGTTGACGGACCCCTTCTTCTCCGTGACGTCCTCTATGCTCCCGGAATGAGAAAAAGTTTGCTTTCAATTTTATGTCTAGTTAGAGACGGTTGCTTAATAAGTTTCATGCTTAATTATGTTACTTTTACATTTTCAGATGGTTTTTACTGTTATGGTCAGATTTTTAATGACTTATTTATTTTGGATAATAATGATATTAATATTTCCTTTTCTTCTACCTATATGACATCGTCATCCTTTTCTACCTATTCTATTACATACAACTCCATAATGTGGCATGCTAGGCTTGCTCCTATAGGAAAAGATAGGATGATCCGGTTAGCCAAAGAAAGATTGTTGCCTTATCCAAAATAGACCTACCTATCTGTGAATCATGCATAACTGAAAACTCAACTAGAAAGCCATTTCCTAAAGCAAAAAGAACAATCGGTCTTCTAGACATAATACATTATGACATTTGTGGTCTATTTAATGAGATGGCCCGTGACGGTTCCCGTTATTTTATCACATTTATCGATGATTACTCTCGCTATGGATATATATACCTAATCTCGCTTAAATCGCAAGCAATAGATTGCTTTCGCCGTCTTATGCTAGAGGTTGAAAATCAGTTGAATAGAAGAATTAAGGTTCTTTGTACTGATCGTGGGCGAGAATACTTATCTGATCAATTTAAGAAGCTTTGTGAGAATAAGGGAATTCGAAGACAAGAGACGATGTCCTACACTCCGCAACAAAATGGTGTTACAGAAAGAAGGAATCGTACTCTGTTGGACATGATGATGTCTATGATGGCTCACATTAACCTCCCAATATCATTTTGGGGAGATGCACTCCTCTCTGCGATATATATCTTAAACAGAGTGCCATCAAAATCCGTTCCCAATACCCCTTATGAGTTATGGACAAGTAGAAAGCCCGATCTTTTTCATTTACATCCTTGGGGGTCAGTTGCACATGTTCACATCCCCTCTCAATTGATAGAGAAACTAGACAGACGGTCTCTCAAATGCATTTTTATCAGATATTTTGAGCACTCGAAGGGATATGTGTTCTGTCAAGAACATGATGGTGGTGAGATGAAAGTAATAAAATCTCGCGATGTAGATTTTATAGAGACAAAATTCCCAAACAGGAAGCGGTCTCGTATGTTTGAAGAGCTTTATGAAGAGCCTGAATCTCATACAGACGCTGAGATAGTTCCTTCACTTGAGGATAATAGTGGAAGTTTTCCCATGATTGTCAATGATAGTGGGAGTGAACAATTGGTTGAGAATGAACATATGACCAATATTGAGTCACCGAGCATGCTAGAGACACCTATTGAGAGTGAATCGGGGGTTGAACTTTGAAAAAGTCAACGTGGGAAAGTTCATCGTAGACACTTCGAAGTAGAAAGTCTCACGTGCATTTTAGTTGATGCTGATGAGCCTAGCTCATTCCAAGAGGCCTTGAATTCTCTTGTTGTGGACTAGTGGATGTCTGCTATGAAAGATGAGCATAGTTCTATAGAGCTTAATCAAGTCTAAGAACTTGTGGATCTGCCGCCTAATAGAAGATCAATTGGGTCTTGAAAATCAAGAGGAAGGCAGATGGAACTATAGATAAGTATAAAGCCCGTTTAGTGGCAAAAGGGTTAACCCAAGTTGAGAGAGTAGACTACGATGAGACATTCTCCCCGATAGTGAGAATGACCTCGATTCATCTAATCCCAGCAATCGTCACACATATAGACCTGGAAGTCTTCTAAATGGATGTAAAGACTACTTTTCTAAATGGTGACTTGATGGAAGATATTATATGGAGCAACCTAAAGGTTTTGTAGCCCCTGGCCTTGAGCACAAAGTGTGCAAGCTCAAGAAGTCTATATATGGTCTCAAACAATCATCAAGACAGTGGTATATCAAATTTCATAGGGCTATAATAACTTATGGTTTTGAAATGCTTCAAGAAGACCATTATGTCTCTAGCATGCTCGGTGTTAAGATACATTGAAATCGCTCTCAAAGGTTTCTTACTATGTCACAAGAAACATATATCTAAATGATTCTTGAGCGATTCTGTATACAAGACTCGAAACCCATAGATACTCCAATTAAGAAAGGGCATATTATAAGTCTTGACATGTATTCGCAGATAGAAACTGAGAGGAGCAAAATATCTCGTGTTCCATATGCAAGTACAGTTGGTAGTTTGATGTACGTGATGCTCTGCACGCTTCTAGATATTGCCTATGCAGTGGTCTTGTTAGCCGATACCAGAGTAACTCAGGACAAGGTCATTAGCAAGCAGTGAAGATGACTTTTCAATACCTTCGAAGAACCTCAAATCAGATGTTATGTTTTCAATGAACCGATTTGAGGTTACAAGAATACGGTGACGTTGATTGGGCAATAGACCTAGATGAGCATAAATCGACTTCAGGTTATGTCTTCTTGCTAGGAGGCAGTGCAGTTTCATGGTGTAACAGTCATGAGTTTTCTAAGAGGCGCTGCAGTCTCTAGGAGGTTATGTCTTCTTGCAAGAAGCAATCATGTGTCTCTCTCCAGTATGGAGTTTGAATACATTGTTTGTAGTAGAGCAATACAAGAAGCTGTATGGTTGAGAAGATTCTTAAAGAACTTGGGTATTGTCGCGACTGGTAATGAGCCTGTCACTGTATTTTGTTATAATATAGCGTAAAAGACCTAAAGTACCATGGAAAGTCAAAACATATTGATGTTAGATATCACTATATTCGAGACATTATTACACATAAACAGGTGGTGTTAACTCATATTACTACAACTGAAATGGTGGTGGATCCCTTGACTAAGGCAATCGTCAAGGCTGCACATCAGACTCATGTAAGATCTATGTACCTCAGGATCTTATAAGTTTAGAGAATCTTGGTACACTATTATAAGAAATATGGATGTTATTTTGTGTTATGATGGATTGTTTGTGCACTTTAATTCACACACAGCAGAGATTATCATTTAATTTGTCGGCAGGCCAAAGCTCACTACTCGCATGAGCTACCCTCAATTTCTTGGATATTGGAGGCTGAGATATACACGTGGTGTATTTATCGCCTCAACCAACGGTTTGAAATGAGATTCTATAAGGGAATTGACATGATCAGTTCAAATTGACATCCCGAAGATCATGTAGCCTGTAAGTAGCCAAGGATGTTCAAGTTGACACATGGATATGACTGTGGGGCGTTAGGTGGTGACCAGTTGCATAGCTGTGAAAAGACTATAACCTGCGTAATGTTGATTTCGGCACACATTTGATGTGATCCACCATGACTTGTGATTCATACCACATATGTTATATAAGTGACCAAAACACCTACTCTCATAGAAAAAGAAGATCATGTTCCTTTTTGCCATTGTGCAAGGCTAATAAGTAGGTGACCCGTGATGACCTTATGGACTTTAGACTGCATTATGAAACTTTATTTCGATCATTCATTTTAGCATGTACTCCTTAGGGTCAAGTATGAGATTCATCTGGGACATTAGTGAGACAATGGTCGGGGTCAGAGTAGAATAATGTATGTTGTAAGGGAAGACCATTTGATATCACACTCTGTTTTAGTACCACAAGAAAACAATACACATTACGCATGCATTAACAGTGATTGTGTACAAATAGGCTAAATAATCTTTTGAGCTGGGCTCATGAGGGATTAGTTGAGAACTTAGTCCTATGTGGTCAAATCGGGTCTAGGGCAAGTGGAGCAGTTTTTGTTTTGCAGGTATTGGAGACATGAAGTGGTCCGTACCAATTGGTTGAAAACTTGGTATGGTTCTCTCTAACATAATATTCGCTCCAGTAAGTCGCACACCGCATTTTTCCTTTTGTATGAAAGAATACTCATGATGCGATAATAAACGACAACTCTTATTTGAGCCTATAACCCCCCCCCCCACATACGGGATGAGTGGGAGATGTAAACATGATGATACATCCCTAGTGTGAGGGAACACCCAAGTGGACCTCACTTCATGTTTGACTTACAGCTTGAAGAGAGGGAAAATGTTACACCTCTTCATGAGGGGGTTACACATCTTCATGAGATTACACCTCTTCATGAAAAGGCATTTTCTCTCATTATAAAAGAGGAAAGGGTGGAGATCTCCATATACACTACAACACACATAAGAAATGTGTGACTGGTATGAGAACTCTCCTTAAGAGATAGAGAAAGAGTATGAGAGAGAATACAATCCCCTTCCTATTTGAGATTTAAGTAAAGATCAGACCCTGAGTGATAAAGAGTTGTGCTTGAGAAACGAGTTTGAACTGCTCCGATTGCATCTGTTGGAGTGTTCGTGAGTTTCCACTTCGTTCAAGATTTGCAGTGTAGAATTGATTTCAACAACTCTAGTAGTTGTCAACCATGTCTACGTGAGTTGATCATTCCTCTCCACATTTGTTCACCAAAATTGTTGAGCGAGCACTCAAGTATGATACCCGATTTCTGATTATTTTATTTTGCTTCCGCTTCGACCGTTGGACCGTATTTTTTCCAACACTAACATTAAAACCACTCAGCTATTAGATGTTAAATTGGATGGCTTTAAGATGTATCATGAAATTTGAGATTCTCTTTTTTTTTTTTTTTTAACTTTTGAATGTAGTCAATAGCACACTTACCCGATTTAAAATCTGATGGTACAAGAGTGACTGTGACCTAGCAAGTCTCTGTTTAAAACACAATGAACTCCGAGTTTTTCAAAAGATAAAAAAAAACACGGTTTTTAATGGAACCGATAAAAATCGGTATTTTATCTTTTTTTCAAAAAACTTTTTAAAAAAGCTTCTTCCCTTTAACTTTATTTGTTCAATAACTTAATGTTATAGAATTTTCGTTTAAAGATAAGTACATTAACAATGAAATTGCCTATTATCCTCTTTCAAACGCTATATTTCCAGGACAAACATGAGGATCTGGTGATCACTATTCATTCTGCTGGGTCTTCAATCCTTCTAAATGATCACCACCTACATGAAAGAATAGAAATTTAAGTACAGACCTCTAAAACTAATTTTCCCTGTTCAAGGTTCTTGACAACCTCACCCATGGTTGGTCTTTTGGAGGGGTCTTGATCCAAACACTTGATAACAATACCGAAAACACTTTTAATCTCCTCGATGGAAACATTTACCAGTTCTCTGTCAACCACATCTACCTCTCTCCCCTCTTCCACCACTGCTTTCACCTGTTGCACCATTAGGGATGCCAATAAGTAAGCATTTCTTTAGATCGATTAAGGAAGCACCATTAGTTATTATTACTAAATGATGACACAAAATGTCAGGAGAATGGAAAGAATAGATGAGTCCCAGGTACAATTTCCATCACTGCAAAAATTTTGTGTTTCAGAACTAACATGCATAAATGACGAAAACCCATCAAATGTTTGGGGATAGTATGGTGCTTGTGCTTGAAATTGGTCTCTAATCCTAGAACTCTCTTCAGTGAGTGAAAATTCACATAGTCAATACATCAAGCCTTTTATTCCGAATAAATCTACTAAAAGAATTTATAATTCTTGATGTTACAGGTGGATATATGGACACTGACACTCATATCAATGTCTACAAGTGTCAAAGGCATTTGGTACTTCAATCTAAAATGCCGATACAACTAGATGTGTCTGTTCAATTATTAATTATCAATAAAACTATACAACATAATATCATTTTAGCATATATATTATCATTTTGCTTTCTATAGAGCATAATCAGTGGATTGGGAGGTAGTAGATGATGGTACACCAAAATAGCCTGAGTTCAAACCTTGAAATGAGCCCGTCCACAATTTTTTATAGTTTCTGTCTAGACAAGTGTGCTTAAGTGTCAATACATGCCAATACATTTTTTTTGTCGTTTTCTAATTAATAATATGTCCTCAAAGTGTCAACACATATCGGCATGTAACACAACAAAAGATTAAATGTTGCAGTAACACTGAAAATTAGTAGGAATAATAGACATGTATGCTTTCCTTGATTGTGTAGAAATAAATATGAGAAAATACCAATATTTAAATAATATATCTTTCCAATAACACAAAGCAAACAGCACCCTACATAAAAAAAAATATGCACAAGTTCAAAACTACTTTTTCTAATTTTTTCCCCTAAATATGAGACCACAGTGTTAATAAATTGATAACTACTTTTTTCATTTTTATGATTGAGGTAGACTGTAGGTGCAAGACATTCTCCTCTTTCCAATTTTGAGGACCATTTTGCCATTAGACACTCAACTAATGGTCGGCATCTTTGAGGTCTAGGTGAGCTTGAGAGGGATGACTTCCCTCTAATCTTCATTTTTTTGCTTCTGCATTATTAGTTCTTTCTATAGAGGGGGAATTCACACAGCTTACCCTTTGTCTGCTCAACAATGGTCGGGACAGTTGCTCTGCTTGAAGAGTTGAAGACGTCTGATCCAACCTTGGGGCGGCTTCCTTATAGTGGAAGGGGAAGGGGACGAAAACATGTAATGTCAATAGGATTGTAATGCTCAGGCACTGTCGAGACTTGACCCTTTATTTGAGAACATTTTGACATTTGCTGACAACTTTAAGTTACTTTAAGGTACATTTGTAGGCATGATTGCTGATTATCTAGCCAAAGAAGATGCCACAGGTGGCATTTTGGGCAGCAGCTAAAACCCTTTTGGGCATCGGACATAGTTGTGCGGAGTGGAAGCGAGTGCCTGAGCTGAATCGGGCACAGAAGCCAAGGATACCCATGGTTAGAGCTCTCTAGATTGGGAGTGGTTGGGACAGTTCTTTAGGAAGTGGCCTGGGGGAGGCTTTATATATGGTACAATACGTATATGGGATTGCTTGGCGAACATCTGTGTGTGAAAATGAGATTGGAAGGCCATAGATAAGAGCTGAATTTAGAAATCACCTGAGTCCCTATCATGAATGGGACGAGACAGGCAGATCCACAATAGTGAGAACTGCCTAGTTCAATCATGGAAATTCCCCTCTTTGAGACCATCCGGGACCCGAAGCCTCCCGGGTTCGAGCCGACTAGAGTGATTTTGAGTCGATTTGTTAGCTTTCAACCACTTACGAAAACCACAACCATGAAAACGGAAAACAAAAATTGTCTACAAGTGATTGTTAGGTAGAAACTTGTCAGAAAGCAAAAATAAAAAAATTGGGCTTAAGATTTCAAAATATTTTGAAACTTCCCCGAGGATGGAGATCCCTTCAAATCATGACCATGCCCCAATTTCAGTGGAGTCATGATCCCCTTCCAAAGCAATCAAGATCCCTTTTAGCAGGGATCGAGATCCTTATAAGATACGGATCAAGCTCCCATGATGGGGGAGCGAGCTCCACTGTGGCTTGTACTCCAGGAGCGCTGGAGCGAGATTCCGAGGGGGATTGCCACCCCTGACCAAGTTCCCTGCATCTATGGTGCTGAACCATAGGGGGGTATCTTCTTCACATTTTTTGACCTCTTTGATGTGAGAGGTTCTACCACACCTTTTTTTACCTCTTTGATGTACCCATGAGCACCCGACTTGTTGGGTTGCCATTTTTTGTATCTATGTACAGTTCTATTACACACAATATACAGTGAAATTTTCTCAACAAATTGATGGTGGCTCATCCTTTACTGGCAATGAGCATGTTTTATTAGCATATGCATCATGCATGTTAACTCCATCATAAGACCAGTCACTGATGTGATTAATGGACAAAATTTAAACATTGTATTTGAGGTGAAAAAGGCATGCACGCTGAGCACCATGGGAAGGAGCGTATCTACCCAAGAGCATGGATTCTTGATTGGTGAAAATGCCTACCAAGGGGGGACAGTCCTCCCACTTCTGATTTATCAATCTTTTGGGAAAGAGTAGAAAGCTAAAGTAAGGTGGTGCGAATCCAAAAGGTAATCCAGAATGACATCTCACTCTTTAGATTTCTTAAAGAAAAAAGAAACGCATCTCACTCCTTAGATTGGGGGCCAAACAGTGACAGCAGTTGGGACTTCACCATCAATGTGAGCCAGCTCATAGTTCCATTAAGAAAAGTTGTGGCTGAATGAGATGACAAGAGGAAATTGTGACCATTTAGTTTCAAAATAAAATAGCGATCTACAGATATGAACTTTTTAATTGATAGAAATGAGGAGTCACACTATTCATAGACATAAATAGTTATATCTATGACATGGGACTGGGACAAAATGTCATCAGCCAAGGTAGGGACAGATTCACCAATGTACAATGTGGATTTCTCACAAACTTGATCATATACTCTCTTCATGTTCTACCACCACAAGAGAACTTCAGAAGGCATTTGTAAGGCAATAGCCATGGTACAAGCCTTTTAGCCCCGTATCAACAGCCAAACCTAAGATGGTAAGAAACTAGGCTCCCATGAAGATGGGAAAACCAAGGTTATAGAATATCTCGCTGTGCCTTTCCAAAGACGTTAGGAAATTCATATCATGTTGGAGCAATAACCGGAGATCTGGCTTATAAATTTATGGTGAGATAGAAGTCTCTACTAGGTTGACATCCATTGTTGACGGAGAATATTTGTGCTCTAAGCATTTTGCACAATGAAAACAAACAAACCTGTCCTCTTCCTCTAAGCTTCCAATATGTCCGGAACAAGAAACTAAGTATTTTATGCGAAAGCATAGAGGCATGTGGGGGCCTTCAAGTTATTATCGGAAAATGCTCAGCCAGCAAGAGCAAGAGATGGACTTTGT